CTGGAGTGGGTTGGTGTTGGGTTGCATAAGAATGTGAGCTGAATTCCTATGCACTTAGGAGGTATGGGTTATTTGAGTGCAAAATTAGTGTCTTGTTTGGATCACTTCAGTTAGTGACAAAAGACTTTCTAGAACCTAAAGTCCAGTAGATAGCAAAGGCCGAACAAGTTTGCTGCCACCACCTTTCAGATCTGGAAAAACATGAACAAAGACGAACTTATTTAAATAAGCCCTGCCCTTCCCAACTCAACTTCTGCTCTTTACAGAAAAGACTTAAAGATTGGATGTTCCTGTCCTAAATTGATATTAAATTATAGGGCCATCATAAGATGAGCATGGATTCAGTCATCCTTTGTGTTGCCGCTTGCAAAACAAAAAAGTTGTAAAGGGAATATGTAAATGTATCTTAGATCTCAAGTGGGTATATGTTAGAGAAAAATGGGAGTGTTGGAGGAAGAAAAGAAGAGAAATAAAAATGTGGGAGGTCGGGGCTGGGGTTGTGGCTCAGCGGTAGAGCGCTCGCCTTGCACGTGAGAGGCCCTGGGTTCGATTCTCAGCACCACATAAATAAATAAAGTAGAGATATTGTGTTCAATTACAACTAAAAAGTAAATATTTTAAAAAAATGTGGGAGAAAACGTGAGTATGTTTTTGTGTTTAATGAGGTGAGAACACATAAAGATAGGAAAAGATATGTCATGGGGTTTAAGAGTAGTGGAGCCCTTCTCAGCTATACAGACTAGAAATGTTTTTGATGCAGAAAAGCTGACAGAAAAGATCACAGGAACTAGGAAGTCTTGGGAACATGAGTAGTAATGATAGGGAGATGGTTGCAGATGGGTAGGTGTAGAGAAATGGGAATAATGACATCTGGAAAAAGAGTGGAGGAAGAATAGCCACCAAACAAGCATAGGCTGTGGTTCACCATAAATATTTGAAAGCTACAGTCCTTCCCTTTACCCTCTCCACTCATACACTATTTTCTTCTTGAAGAACTGCTGATCTCGCTTGAAGAATAATCCACATTATTGGGAACCACGAAACACAGCCCTCAGACCTCTGAGCAAATTCCTTCATGCTTTCTTGCTCACGTCAATGAACTGTGTGCATCACCTACCCACCCTAGTTATTCTGGAATGTTTAAGCAAATACTCCATTGAGTTGAGTCATACTTGAGAGCTGACTTCAGTGTACATTTTAGTAGGGAACCTAGTTAAAGTTTCATGCTCCAGGAAATCTGCTCTGATTAGTTTTAGCTTAATTGTGTGTGCGTGCTGGGGATCAAACCCAAAGTTTTGTGCATGCTAGACAAGTACTCTACTACTGAGCTGTAGCCCCAGCCCTGAGCAATCTGTTTTTTGGTTTGTTGTTTGGAACTAGGGATTGAGCCCAGGAGTGCTTAACCTCTAAGCCACATCCCCAGCCCTATATTTATTTTTTTATTTTGAGACAGGGTCTCACTAAGTTGCGTAGAGCCTTGCTAAATTGCTGAGGCTGGCTTTGAATTTGTTATCCTCTTGTGTCAGCCTCCCAAGCCACTGGGATTACAGGCATGCACCATTGTGTCTGGTGCAATCTATTTTTAAGAATGGACACAGAAACAATTATGCAACCATGTGGGTTTTATTGATCCTATTTTTATAACCATAAAAATAATATGCAGATAGAAATAATTTAAAGCCCTCAAGAGGGTAGTGATCCCTTAAGGCTTCCCAAAGGTAACATGTTTTCCTGTTAATTCTTCCAGAAATCACTATCTAAATTATATATAATATATATAATTATATATAATACATATAATTATATATATTACATACATACACACATATCTAATAAGAATGAAGTAAGAATAAATACAGATATAAATAGGAAACAATATATAGTGGGGTTTAAGAGTAGTTGAGCCCTTATCAGCTATATGAATAGAAATGCTTGTGATCCAGAAAAACTGAAAGAAAAAGGACAGAAAAGATCACAGGAACTAGGCAAATATAATACACACACACACACACACACACAAAGTTGGTGAGGGTCTTGCTAAATTGCTGAGGCTGGCCTTGAACATGCAATCTTCCTGTCTCAAGTTCCCTAGTTGCTGGGATTATAGGCATGCACCACTGTACCTGGTGGATAGTTTCTTTTCAAATGGTTTAATAATAAAATAATAATTTTTTAAAAGTTTTTTTCTGTTTGCATATGTTTGGTTACTTTGCCATTCTTTATGAATGTATTATCACTAGAATGACCAGTATGTCTGTGGCACATAAATTCCATACTTGGAAAAACAGAAGACATTCAATTACATTAGGCCCCAGCTTCCTTAATAAGACTCCTATATTGCAATAATTAAAATAAAGAATAAATAAATGGGATGGATTCAAACTAAAAAGTTTCTTCTCAGCAAAAGAAACAATCTGTGAGGTGAATAGAGAGCCTACATATTGGGAGCAAATCTTTACCCCTCACATATCAGATAGAGCACTAATCTCTAGGGTATATAAAGAACTCAAAAAGCTAAGCACCAAAAAAACTAAATAACCAAATCAATAAATGGGCCAAGGATCTGAACAGACACTTCTCAGAAGATGATATACAATCAATCAATAAGTATATGAAAAAATGTTCATCATCTCTAGCAATTAGAGAAAAAATCAAAACTACTGTAAGATTTCATCTCACTACAGTCAGAATGGCAGCTATTAAGAAACAAACAACAATAAGTATTGGTGAAGATGCAAGGGAAAAGGCACCTTATTCATTGCTGATGGGACTGCAAATTGGTGCAGCCAATATGGAAAGCAATATGGAGATTCCTTGGAAACCTGGAATGGAACCACCACTGGAGCCAGCTATCCTTCTCCTAGTCTATACCCAAAGGACTTAAAAACAGCATACTATAGGGACACAGCCACATCAATGTTTATAGCAGCACAATTCACAATAGATAAACAGTGAAACCAACCTATATGCCCTTCAGTAGATAAATGGATAAAGAAAATGTGGGATTTATACACAATGGAATATTATTCAGCAATAAAAGAGGATAAAATCATGGAATTTGCAGGTAAATGGATGGAGTTGGAGGAGATAATGCTAAGTGAAGTTAGCCAATCCCAAAAAACCAAATGCTGAATGTTTTTTTCTGATATAAGAAGGCTGATTCATACTAGAGTAGGGAGAGGGAAGCATGGGAGGAATAGAGGAACTCTAGATAGGGCAGAGGGGGTTGGAAGGGGAAGGGAGGGGGCATGGGGTTGGAAATGATGGTCGAATGTGAGATGGACATTATTATACAAAGTACATGTATGAAGACATGAATTGGTGTGAATATAGTTTGTATACAACCAGAGATATGAAAAATTGTGCTCTATATGTGTAATATGAATTGTAATGCATTTCACTGTCATATATAAATTTTAAAAATTAATAAAAAAGAAAGGCAATTACAGTAAAATTTCTCAAAACACAAAGTAAGGATGGAGGGAACAATCTTGGTTCATAACCAGAGTTGACAAAGGCACAGAAACAAAAACAAAATTAAAATCTATGACGATCTTAGTAAGAAGGTGTGAAGGGATGAAAGACACGGGAAAAATGGCACAGCATGGATAAATTCATAAAATGCAGTTGGGATAAATATAGATAGATGGAAACTGTAACTGAAGTTGCTCTAGGAATGTCAAGGATCTCCAACATGGTTGGGGCGGAGAGAGGGTGTTATTTTGTGCAGCTGTTGAATGGGGTGCTCATTCCTGAGTTCTCATTTTCCACTTGTTGGGCAATAAAGCTTTTTTGGGTGAGTGGCATTATAGTTCCACCCAGAGAAGCCAATCATTTTACTCTTCTAGGGCTGGGCTTAAGAATTAAAGGAAAGGTTCCATTTCACTGTTTCATTATTCTTGACCAAGAAAGTACCATTTAGGGAAAACTTTAAAGAATATTATTAGAACAAGTGGTAAAATTTTCTTTGTGTGCTTTTTCTGTTGTTGTTATTTTGTTTTAACTTCACCTTAGGCTATTCTACAAATTAGTTTTCCAGAATTTAGGATAATACTTGTATTTGCTTTCTTAACTGTTTTTCTGCTTCAGATTTTAAAAGGAGGTTTGAGAACTAATCAGATCATCATAATAAGCACATAGCAAAAAAGTATCTTCTGAGGAAATTCTGAGCCCTTAGTAGGAACCTGTTTCTTGTAGAAAGACATATTTTCAAGAGAAAGTGACTAGGAGTTATTTCAAAGACTATTTTAGCAGAATTATGAAACTCCTTTTAAAAATCTTTACATGGGTTTTATTACATTATCAACTGGTTGTTTCTATAGTTTAAAAAAGGCACACTGGGTCAAGTATGGTAGGAAACAAAGAGTGCTGCTTCCGGAGCGTGTGAGAATATCAGTATAAAGATGCCGTAAAAATAAACTGAGCATTTGAAGTGTGTACAGTCTGTTGGCATGTCCTCATTCCGGGACTTCGGTATTGCAATTATTCTATTCCTTCGATATTATGCTACACATCACAGTCATTAGACCACTTTATGATGTAAAGTTAATTTCAGCTTAAAACTCTGGGCATGTCGTTGAGAGTTAAAGCATACCTAGTTAATGGTTATCAATTTGGTACCCATTTGCCAACTTTAGAAGACTCACAACTCAACTTGGAACAAAGCTATGCATTGATGTCTGTTTCCCTAGTTACCCTTATCATAGCTCTATCCTTGGTGAAGATTAGCCAAATCGAACATGTCATCATCTCTTATTGCTGTATTATGAGGGGCTCGGGTGCCAATTACCGGTTCCCTAGAATTTGCCTGTAATTGACTATGTCCCGCAATAGGTAACTCTGGAAGTGACAGGCAGCCTCAAGTGGGGTTCTCCCGTCCGTCTATTGGGCTTTGCAGGAAGCCCCGCCTCATCAACTCAGCCAAGGGCGGTAGTTGGCCGGGGGTCGGTGAGTGGCGGGTCTTAGCTCCGCCCTAGCCGTCCGCTGCGCTGCCTGGGTCGGCGCCGTTTCCAGTTGAGAGATGGCGGCCGCCGCAGGTAGATCGCTCCTGCTGCTCCTCTCTTCCCGGGGCGGCGGCGGGGGCGCCGGCGGCTGCGGGGCGCTGACTGCCGGCTGCTTCCCCGCCCTGGCGGTCAGCCGCCACCGGCAGCAGCAGCACCACCGGACGGTGAGCGAGCGCACCGGGCGGCTCCGGGGAGGGCGGGGCGGCGCTGGCGTGTCGGAGCCGCCGGCGGGCAGGCCGCCGGGGCAGTGGGCGAGTTACCTCAACTCCCGGCCGTTCCCGAGGTTGCTGGGCTCCGAGGAGCCGCCGTGCCCTTCAGGCGCCTGCGGCGGCGACCAGGAAGGGAGGGCTGGCGCGAGGAAGCCAAGAGGAGGAGGAGGGGCGACGGCGGGGATGTTCCCGCAGGACTGGGGACACCAGGGCGGGGAAGGGACGGGACGTGAACCTCTCCCTGACCCGCCTATGTTCTCGGTCCCTCCCTCCTTCTTTCTTAACAGCTCTGCCCCAATGCTCCGAACTGAGCCCCGTGCAAGTTGTCCCTCCTCCTCTTGGCGGGTTGGGGTGTCCTAAGTTGCCGCGGCTGCCTTGTGTATGTGTCAGAAGAGTGGCAGTGCCATGCTGCTGGAAACTGTCCCCGGAGAGCAACCCAGGACCCCAGCGGGGCTGCTCACTCGTCCTCTCTCTGCCCTAGGGGAACGGCCAAGAAGGAAAATCAAACTTTATCCCCCTCTCTGACTTCCTGCATGTGTGTGTGCACGGGGGCCAGCTTCCTCGAGATGGATGCTGCATTGCTTCAGGAGACCAGCTCCATCCCCTCGGGTCCTTAAAGGTCCTCAGTGGTTCTTTCTGAGGGCTGTTTTTTGAGCTTCACAAGTGCCTGAAGAAGGAAGGGTGGGCAGCAGGCCCAGGGGAAGAGAATATGACAAGTTGTTCCCATAGGCAGAGATTTGGTGGTTGTATTAACCAGTTACTGCTGGGTTTCATTGGCTGGCAATGAAAGGGAGTTTCTATTTGAACAGCCTTGGGGTGTGTGCCGGGAGCTGGGAGGGGTGGGTAGGAGGAAGAGGGTGAGAGATTTCTTTTTTTAATTTGTAAAAGATCAACTTGGCAGGGAGTTCTTGACCTAACAAGTCAGCAGGTTCCGTTCCTTTGGACTTTCTAGACCCATATGTATTGGGCTCTGGCCAACTCAGAGAGAATGAGTGTAGATTTTATTTCCTAGGGCTAAGTCGTGTAGTGTGGTAGGTAAAAAGGATGATCACTGCAGACAGCTTAATGGGAGGAACTAGTGCCTTCAGTTCTCAACAAACACATCACCTGTCTTGTTCTGATCATGTAGCTCTTAAGAGGAAACAACTGCATGTTTTCAGAGAAGATACCCTCAGACCCATGATAGCATAAATTGTTGAAAGAGCTGTGAAAAGAACTGATGCTCTGCAAATGCAAGATAGTATTGCTATTATTAGTCAATGTTATGGACCCTATCTTCATTCCTGTGAGAAAATTGCACTTTTTCATATTTAGCGTACAGGCATGTTGCTTTGCTGAAGCTTTTGGGTGAGAGCCGAGCTTTTCTTTAGTTCAGTTTACATTTGTGTGTTTCATAGCCTCGAATTGTGTGTTTTGTTCTCTTAAAAACATAAGGTGACCCCAAAATCTGATTGTATTCCTCTCTCTCCCAAACTATATTTAAAGACTTCCCAAGTTGTCTTTCTCTCTGCTTTTTGATAAGACATTGTCTGACTTTGCACAGTTTGTTTTTAATACTGTTTGGGTGTGGTATTCATGTAGCATTTTAAAATTGTGTTTCATAGATTTTCGACTGTGTGAATGCATCAGGCTGTGAGTGTCTTCCTTGTGGGGATACTTTGGGAAAGTGTTCTTCTGTGCTATTCTGGGATGGGTAAAACTGATGTGCTGAATTTGTAACTGAAAGTACATTTACAATGAAGTGTTATTTCTGAAGGACAGAAGTGTTGTCATGGGAATGGTGACTAGTAAATGAACTCAGAATTCTAAGATTTTGAAAAAAGTTGAGTCTTATTATTTAAAATGTGTAAATGAATTTTCAATTTTTTCTGTGATTGCTCTAAAGTTATCATGTGACCTGCTGTCTCCATCTGATATTCTATGATTCCTCAGCAGACAATTTGAAAATTATCTGTTAGAGATTAAATTCTTGATATTTCTTGCCTGAAATTGAGGCCCAGAAAGGAGAGAAACTAGGCTGAGATTAACACAGCTGTCATGTAATAGTTATAGGACTCCTACTCACCCCAGATATTATGACCTCCTTGTTGTGTTGTTTTTATTATAACTGCAATTGTTCCTTTTCATCTTTGACCTCCCTTATAAAATTAACTAATTGTCTGTTACAAAAATTATTGGTATTTCGAATTCCGTTAATAGATGTGATTTGAGGCACGTGTATTAGGTCAATGTGGTAATAAACAACTTTCTGGAAAGAATAGATGTTCTTATAAGAAGGTACATGAGAGACACTAAGATTGACTCTTGCACAGGAGACATCCTGTGTGTGTGCAGCAGATGGCACTCTGCATTGGCCTGGATCACAAGTCCAACTTGTGCCACTTTTGTTCTGCTGTAGCGGGTATGGTAAATTAGAGCAGGGGAACATAATCTATTATAGTACTGCTTAATTTTTTGTCATATTTTTGGAAATGCATCTTTTCTAAGTTTGGTGAATGAGTTCAATGTGATACAGTAGTTCAGCTGATTGGTAAATGCAATTGCAGAGTTAGAAACATAATTTCCCCCCCATTAAAACATCTTTCAATGATTAAAATATTATTTCCCCCCTCCCCCAGTACTAGGAATTGAACCCAAGGTTCTCTGTCACTGAGCTACATCCCCAGCCCTTTTTGTTTTTTATTTTGAGACAAAGTCTCACTGAGTTACCTGGGCTGGCCTTGAATTTGTGATTCTCCTGCCTCAGCCTCCTGAGTAGATGGGATTATTGGTGAGTATCTGGGATTACAGGTGTGTGTCACCATGCCTGGCCTTTTATTTATTTATTTATTTATTTTTTTGAGGTGGTAACCATTAGATGTTTGAGATATTGTCCAGGCTGGCCTCTAACTCCTGGGTTCAAGAGTTCTATCTGCCTCAGCCTCCCAAGTAGCTGTGACAGTAGGTATGTGCCACTGTACTCAGCTTTAAAAAATTTTTCAACTGAGTAAATGGGAGTAAAGGTATAGTGGCTTTTTCAATATTTTTAGCACCATGTAATGTAATTTTTCCCTTCCTGTGTGAAGAACCTGTTATTGCTGTCCAGATTGTGACTGTAACTGAGACTGTTATGTTTGCTGTTTTCCTTTCTGTATGGCAAGTGAAGGTGGCTGCTATTTTCAAGGGGCACTGCCTTTCATTGTGGGCTGAAAATTCTTTGCTAAATCAAACTGTCTCATCTCTGATTAGGACAGTCTTGACTGTTGGCGTTTCCTACTGATCAACTGCTGTGAATTACTAAATCTCTTTCTTTTCATTGTACTGTGACAGTTTGTAGCTGTCCTGCTCTACTTTACCCTTTGCAGTTCTTTGACAGTGATACTCTCCCAGCTAAGACTGAAAGTTTTAATGAGTTCATATTGCCTGACACCAATCATAGTTTTTTATTGAGTTTTGATGGTCTGACCTAATCTTCCTTTGCCAGATCCTCTGCAGCAGATACTCCACTGTACTCAAACCTATCTCTGCACTGTCCCTAAGTGTCCCATACATCTGTATAAAAGTTTATGTAGTTTTTGTAGCTTAATTTCAGCCTTCACTCATAATCCCTCCTCAAACCTCTAACATTTATTTTAGGGTAGAGACTGTGATCTGCAAATCCTATTTTGGTTTATTTTGAGACAGGGTCTATGTTATTTAGTTTGCCCAGAATGGCCTCGAACTCTTGATTGTCCTGCTTCAGCCTGCTGAGTAACTGGGACTACAGTGTGCACCTGGCTACAACTTCTTTTGAATCCAACATTTTTGCTAAATCCCTTTTAGATTATGTTTGTGGTTAAAAAACAGAACTGGTATTAAAATTCCTTTAAATAGAGATGCGTTCAATAAGTTCTAGTCTGAATCTTTATATGTGTGATTCCTGGCTCTTATTTTTTAAAAAACCTTTGGTACTGGGGATTAAATCCAAGAGTGCTTTACTAATGACTATATCCCCAACCTTTAATTGCCCAGGCTGGCCTGGAACTTTCGATCCTCCTGCCTCAGTCTCCTGAGTAGCTAGGATTACAGATGTGTACCATCATGCCCAGTGATTCCTGACTCTTGATCCCTTTCCTCTCTGTTCTGTCTTCTCTGAATTCTGATAGGTTTTATTATCTTTAGGACACAGATTGACATTGTCTTGTTCTCTAAATGTTTCATTTGTTGGCATCTTATCTTACTGGAGAGAGAAAACAAAGATGTATATTTTACCTGCCCCCAACTTGTTTAATAGTCTGTTGTTTAGGGAGCTGAATTTGGGTAATTGCTTTAAGCTTGGTATTGCCAGTTCTATCTTCCGTTGCATGTTGTACTTCTTGAGGTTAAATTGGTGGAAAGAATTGGTACCATTGGAGTAGTTTTGTAGTGTTCACTAACTTTCTGTCCCTAGTCAGCAAAAGTATGATAATTAACCAGATTATTATAAGTATATACTTGAATCAGATTCCAAATTTGTTATTGTTACTATTCTACTATACTAAGATTTTGAGAGTGAAGATAAATATGTTTAGAACAGGCTTCTTTTTTTTTTTTTTTTTTAAGGAAGCAAACATTTTTTTATTCATCTTAAAATTTTACTGTAAAATATTTGAGTGAATGAACTTGGATGCATTCAACAAATTCTGATTATTTGAATTTTTCTGCGTCTCAAAGGACTATTGTATGCTTTTTATGGAACTCAGAGTACTCTAACAGGAAACTTAAATAGAAAATACAGCAGCAAGAATTGTGTAATTAGCTTGGCATGTTGGCATATGCCTATAATTTCAGCAGTTCAGGAGACTGAGGCAGGAGGATTGCAAGGTCAAGGCCAGCCTCAGCAATTTAGCAAGACCCTTTCTCAAAATAAAAAATAATAAAGGGCTGGGGATGTACCTCAGTGGTAGAAGGCCCCAGGGTTCAATTCCCAGTACTCCAACAAACCAACCACAATCAAA